TTTCTAGGGGCCTGAAGGGTCGCATACACCTCGGCGATTGAAAATAGAGGAAATTGCGAGAGAAATGGAGAAAAAAAAAACAAGGATACATACGACAGTTTGTATGATGCGGAGAGAGACGCCGAAAGCTCAATTCCGCCATTCTGCAGATTTCATTTTACGACCTTTTTTTTTTCATTTCGCTGTGTCTCTCTCTCTGTGTGTATGTGCACAACTTTTTATCCTTTTCTTCCGGTTGTTCATTTCTTTCTTCTCTCTTTTTTTATGTATTTCGCATTCCGGCGGCACCGACGTCGGTCCTTTTCATCTCTGCCGCACTCCAATCAATTTGCATCCGTGCATATCCACCAGAAAGCATTTTTATTTCTATTGCAAAAAACGCCAGATGTACAGAAAATCTTTTTAGTAAAATCTTCATCATCAAAATTAACTGAAAAGTATTGACATTACAATGAATTTGATCAGTTGCCATGGTTACATTTAAATTGACTGTAAGTTTTTCTTCTGATTACCATGACTACAACAAAAATGTGTTAACTTTCATTTTTATATCTCATGTTACCATAGTGATATTAGAGGAAAAGAAATAACAATAAAATTAGGTTTGCATAAAATCAAATATATTTATTTGTTAACTACACATTAAAAATCATGTACTGCCTCAACTTGTGCAATTCCTTCTGGAAATTCTCAATATTCTCAATTGCGTAATCGGCGTGACAACAGAACGAACTCAAGACGATAACATTGAAGATTTTCATAGTCTCCATGTACGAATGGAATTTCTTGATGTACTCGTTCGTCTCGTTCTCGGCGTGCCTGTAGAACGCCAAAATATCCTCGCTGAAATTCTTCTTCTTTTTCATGATGACCTCTTCGTAAACGGTTTCGGATATTTGCTGCGCGGCGACGATTGTCCATTCGTCCCAAACACTTCTCTGTCCCAGAATTGTGGCAAATTTACTAGAATATTTGCATACTTTCCTTAGCTCCAAGCTCAAATTGTTCACTCCGTTCGCGTACACTTTGTTGATGATTTGCCGGCATTGAGCAATGATGTATTTCATTTCTTCGATGGATTTCTGAGTTTTCTCATTTTCAATGTTCAACAGTTTTATTTGCTCACTTTTCATCATCTTTTCTGGATTAAGTTTTATGTTGATAATCGAGTTATATAAAGTCACAAAAATTTCACAATTATTTTTTTTTTGTTAATTCAAAGAATTGCCTTAAAGTTGTCAACAATTTAATTACAGTGTACACTGTATTATTTATTATAAAAGCGGAAGTGGTGGAGTTTAAAAATTTGTCTTTTTTTTTCTCTTTGTCAAATGAAGATAATAAAATGTGGCCCACCTCAACCGCAGACTATGTACAACTGATACCTCTATCACACGTATAATTTAACTTGTTCTTTATATTGAATGAAAGTGTACAATGAAATTGAAAAAATACATTGGAAAAAATGTATGTAAAAATAAAATTTCAATATTTTATACGCAAATTCTCTCTGAAATCGCTTCAAAATGTTATTCATTTTAAATCGAGTAACTTTTTTTGTAAAGTTTCAGTTTATAAGAAAATCTTAAGGTAATATAAATTAAACTTCTTCGTTTAACATTAGTTTCTTACACCAGATTTTTCTATCTTTGATACATTTATTAGTATTTTCTAAACAATAACAAAACTTGGCTGTCATCATAACTGACATTGACGTTTTTCTTATTCACTTGACAGTTTGACAATTTTGTACCTTTTTTTTGCCCTCTTTGATTTATTTAAACTTGCATCATATAATTTTTCTATACATAACCTTAACATCTTGCAAATCGATAGACGAAAACAATAAAGTATTGTTGGTGAAATTTTCAATTTGTGATTTAGCAACGAGTTTATAAGAGCTATTAGTGTAGTAAAACTTTATTGGAAAAAAAATAAATCGCAAGAAGTGATTTACATTTACAAATTTTTGTCGAAGTAATTTTAAATAATGATTGATGAATTTCTTCAAAAAAAAAGAATAATATAATTATATAGTTATTTTGTTTTTTTTTAAGAAATTAATCACTTTTTTAAACTTTTTTTTAGATTTTTAACGATTTATTTAAGAAAAGATATAAATATAACTAATATAAACGATTTTAAAGAAGTTGAAAACTTTCCAAAGTCATATATTAATAAAAAAAGATACACTTTTAGCACAGCTGCCATAAATGCATCATTGCAACATAATGGAAAATAAGATCGAATTAGGGAGAATTAAGAAATCCATCGAGGAAATAAAGCAGATCAGAGCCAAATGCGAACAATTTGATGGAGCTACGAAAACCGCACGATTATGCCGATAAAATATATGAAATAATTAAACAGAGTACGCTTTTGGGCTAGTATTAAATCGTCGCCGAAATATCCGAATCCGTCGACAAAATGAAGAGTCTCAATACGGAAATTTTGCATTTCTAAACAGACATCGAGGAGAACACACTCGGATTCGTGACGAAATTCCATTCGCTTGGGATGGATTGTATAAAATCTATGCAATTGCTTTGTAAACTCATTCGACTATCAAGATTTTGATCCTGACCCAGATGTTGCTAAAATTTAATTAGTACATTATTTCACGTGTATCTGAGTAATTGTTAATTTTAAAATTATAATTTTTGTTGTTGTTAATTTATTTAGTTTTGTGTGCAATTCGTTGGTTAATTGTTAACATTTTTCATTCCACCAATAAATACAACACATTCTGACAAAAACAATTGACAAATATGACATAACTAAGATTCTTGTTAATTGTATCCATAGAAACTTAGAAAATGAAAGTTTTAGTGATTTTTTTGTTAATAATGTGAAGAGTTGATGCATTTTGAAAGATGACTACGGTCCTGGATATTTAGAAATCAACAAATTTGAATGCAAATACGACCCTGTACGTTTGAGCGCAGGTATTCTCCACTTAACAAATTAAAAGTATTGTGTGTGTGTGTGTATAAAAAAAGAGGACGTAAAGTAAGCAAAGAGTGTAGAGAAATAAGAATATGGTGGTCGTTGACTCGATGCGAGTGAGTCTGTCGAGGATGACGACGGGTGGTCTTTTAAAGCACGACGAGGGTGCTTTGCGAGTCAAGGGCGGACCCGACGCGACTCTCCAATTGGCTCCCATCGCCATGGGGGATGACGCTCGCACAGACCCCCTTCGCGTCGTTACGTTACGTGACAGAGACGTAACAACACATGTTACGCAAAAGCGATGCTGGCGCCGCGCCGCGTCCGCATCCCTTCAACAAAACGCTCCCTTCCACTGCTTACACCCTTGACAACCCTACGTAGCGACGTGCGTGCAATATTTCCCCAAAATGCCTGGGTTACGTAATGTTATTTTGTTAGTATAATGGCCGCGTCGAAATTCCGACCCCTCACTTACACTTAACCAGATTATTGGGCGCACAATTCGAAACTCGTTAACGATCGCAAATCTCGTTCCGCCCCGCACAAAAACCTCATTATGCCATCCATCCATCCAGGCAGGCCTCTCGCAAATTCACAATCTGAATGGAAAGCACGGAATTTGCATAACCCGGTTTCCTTGCCCTCTGGCCCTTCGACACATCCAACAAGAACGAGCCAATCGAAGTCATACAATATGAAGCTTCAAAACATAATGGAAAATCTTCTAATAGTAATCATACAAAACAAATAAAAGAAAATTGTATATAAAATGAATGTTAAATCTTAGGACGCCATGAATAATAATTGAAAGTATCTGACATAAATGTCAAATATGACGTAATAACTTGCATCTTGTACTTACCATATATTTGGTAAGTGAGGTTCTTGATTGGTAGACTTGTACAAGTATTAGAATGTATTTAAACATCGAAAATGCAATAGAAATACTCCTATTACGCAAATATGTATTTTTAAATATGTAATTGCCATCTTCTTTGTTTGTATTTTAACGTAAATTAATGATCATATCATATGTTTCTTGAAGCATTTGTTTTGAAGAAATGTAATTGAAATTTATCTAATTAAATATAATAAAGTAGTAATTTTGATAATTCATAATAGCTTAAAAACTGGTAATGTTTTTTATTGTAGTAATATTTCACGTTACATAATTGGCATTAGTTTTCAATTTTTACGTTGTTATTTTGTTTTCTTATTTATTTGTTTCATGTGATGCAACAGCAAACAATTTCCATTATTGATTGCTTTTTTAAAAATAAATTTTCAAATAGTTTAATTTATCAATAAGAAAAGTAATAAGTATGGTAATTTTATATATTATAAATAGTAATTGTTTCAATTTGATAATAATATTTCACGTTACATAATTGGCATTACTTTTCAATTACTTCGTTTGACGTAATCAAAAATATATTCGTTTGTTTTTTATTTGTTGCATTGAGAATATTTCTAAGAATTGAAATATTGATTTTTTTCTGAAAAAAGTGAATTTCAAACAATTTAATTGGTCAATAAGGTAATTTAATACATTGTAACGTAAAGATTAAATGTTTTTATATGTTAGTAATAATTCACGTTACATAATTGGCATTAGTTTTCAATTACTTCGTTTGACGTAAACAAAAATATATTCATTTGTTTTTTATTTGTTGCAGTAAGAACAGTTCTTTTTTGTCTTAAATCACAAGAAAGAACAAATTTGCAAAATTTTAATTGAATTAAATATCAATTTTCCTCTTATTTCATGGATCATTTGAAGAAGTTGATGAGTTGGTGAGTATTAAATTAAGCTTCATTGTGATAATTCATATTTGACGTACATTAAAAATATATTCTTTTGTTTTGCTTTTTGTTTCTTTATTCTAGTTCAGAAAACTTATATTATGTGATGAAACAGGAATCAATGAAATAATGTGATTTTCTCATTTATTTGGTGAGTGTTTTGTAATGTATAGATGTCAAAATTTAATGACATTTGACGTAAACGAAAATTATTTTTTTGTTGTTGTTGCAGAAATGAAGCTTATTTTACTTAAGTAACAATGCACATTAATTATATAAGAAATGTGTGATTTTTGCTCTTATTTGTTGGTTAAGTTATGGTCTAAGCAAGTATCAGGTATATAGTAGCATTATTGTGGTAATTCATGGGTATTGATATTATTTTTGTAGGTAGTTTTCACTCATGGATCTGTTACGTTTCGTGGAATCGCATGGGACAGATGAGTATAATTAAATGATCCGGAAAGGCGTCCACGTCCATTGTCAATTCTAATGCGATAAGCGAGAGTCTCGTGTTGCAAATATATGAATATATGAAGGGAAAAATCGTCGATGACAGGAGGACAAAGAAAGAAAAGAAGAAATCCATTGTGGTTAGGTGAGAAAAGCTTTGTGTGAACGGTAATATTCGACGTGAAACCGCAACGGGGAAGTTTCAGGTCGTGTCCTTTTCAGAAAAAAAAAAATTCCATCGCCGGAAATTTGACACAAGGGAAAGGTTCGGTTCATTATGCAATTAGATTAATCAACGTTTATCTAATTACGCGCATTTTGTGTTCGTAGTATTAAGTGAATGATGATGATGGAACATCCTCTGCAACGCATCCTCTCGAAAATAAAATCTAGAGTGTGTAGTAGAGATTGAGAGAAATTCGGGTTGGTAATCCGTGTCTTATCTGACCGGTCCCATCAGGAATACAAGGAATAATCATAATAGCGAGACGTGTCCTCCTATTTTGGGAACACTTTAGTGAACATGGCACGATTCTCCTTCGCTCCGTGTTGTGTATCCTTTTACCACCGAGCATTACTCGATTACGATCTAGTGTGTTTCTCTTTCTTTTATTTTTTTTTGTTGTTGTCCTCCGCAGTGAATACAATATAATCCGCGACACCGAATATCCTCCATCCCTCTCTTTATCTTCGTCCACTTACTTACTGGGTCTCGCCCCAATTCCACCTCTTGTTGTTTCGTGTTGATCCTTCTGCTGACAAGAGATACGGTTTGCCTTTTGAATTTAATTGAGCGCACACAATCTTGATCCTCGATAGAAGGATGGATGGATGGACCCGCGTCGACCTGTCAAATCCGATCCAGAGGATAATCTCCTTCGTCACAAAAATCTCACTCGATATTATTCATCTCATTTACCTCCATTACGCATTTTCCAACTATATCTGATCGTTGTTCATCTCATTCCAACATTAATACCATTATAATTTCATTTAAAAACTTATACAAAAGATTTCCAATCTTTACGTAATTCATAAAAAAAACTTACATAAATAACCCAAACGACTTACGGCTTAGTTGCATACCAATATCAAATATTTTCATTTATTTATAAAAACAATTTCATTACTTACTACAAAAATTATATAAATCTTCTATTCATAATCAGAAAACAACGATTTGAAAATTATTACAATTATTTTTTTCTTCACCAATCAACAAAACACAACATTCTTGTAATTCACTAATTGATTTACAATAATTAACATGATTAATTTATTAAATAAATATAAAAAATAGTTGGCAGCGGTGGGATTCGAACCCACGCCTCCGAAGAGACTGGTGCCTTAAACCAGCGCCTTAGACCGCTCGGCCACGCTACCTATATACAAAAAAAGGTTGCTTTACACATTTTTAACTGCACTTAGGAATATATAAATTTATAATTAGATTTTATTTAAACTTTACAATTACTTATTTTTTTTTGTAATTTAAACAATTTTTCACTAATGTTAGTTGGTACTAATCATATAGGAATGCAATTGCAGTTGGCCATTTTGTACCTGCAACCAGTGATGAATTGTCGTCGATTAAGAGCTGCAAAATTATTAAGGTATTGTGCGTTTTATATAATTCCTTTATCAATTATCTGTTGTGTAACGTATTGCGGTTTATATTGGGCATTTTCTCGCGATGTTCGGTAATTGTATGTTTGGAACGCAACCAAAATTGCATATGAAATATTTGAATTTGTACCAGAGCCAACTTCATGATTGTTTTCCTAACCTAATGAACCTCATGGTGAATTAAAGTTCAACCAACATGGATGTGGAAGTTAGGTATATAGATGATAGCAAGGTAAGATTTCTGTTATTGTTTTATAACATTATTTAATTATATATTAACTTTGCAGGGAAATGGTTTATTTGCCAAGAAAAACTTCTCTGAAGATTCTATACTCTTCGAAGAATCTCCATTGGTCTGTGTGCAATTCTCCTGGAATGCTGAGTATGGGTATAAAGCATGTGATCATTGCTTGAAACCCTTGGAGACTGCCGAAGAGAATGTGAGGAGGTTAACAGGAAAGACAGAAATTGTTCTCCCATATCCAGAATTGTGCACAACAAACAAATCAACTATAACTCAATGTTCAGGTTGTGGTGTGGAATACTGCAACGCTGATTGCCAAGAGAAGGCTTTCAACCAATACCACAGGACACTCTGCGTGCAGACTGGACCTTTGCAATGTTTGAACGACGCTTGGAAGCAAATCCACTATCCACCAGAAACCGGCAACGTGATGCTGATTCCAAGAATATTAGCCACAATTCAACAATCCTGTGATAAAGAGAACACTCTGAATAGGTTCTTGAAGTTCTGCCATCGCAGCGTCAACGATGATTCGCATTTAGCGCATAAATTGTTGGGTGAAAAGTTCGCCAATCAGATTTCCACTTTGCATTCGTTGTTGGTGCAATCGATGCCGCACGAGCACGTCAGCCAACTGTTGAGTCCGGAAGGGTTTCAAAGTCTTTTAGCGTTGATGGGGACAAACGGGCAAGGTGTCGCCACGAGCCCTTTCAGCCAGTGGGTGGAGAATGTTCCGGAAAAGGATCTAGTTAGTAAGCTGTACGAGGACATGGACGCCAATGTTGGTAGTTTCTTGGATAACGAAGGAGTGGGTTTGTTCGAAACGCAGAGCGCTGCAAATCACAGTTGCCTTCCGAACGCCGAAATCGTTTACAGACATAACAACAGCACTTTGAGTTTGCGAGCCCTGAGAGATATTGAAGCAGGTGAAGAAATTTGCATTAGTTATGTGGATGAATGCACTTTGTCAAGTTCGAGGCATTCGCGACAAAAAGAGTTGAGGGAGAACTACTTGTTCAATTGCAATTGCCCCAAGTGCTTGGAACAGGCCGACGATCCTGATGTAACAAGCGACGAAGACATGTCGGATTCCGATGAATAAAAAATATACATATTTTTTTTTACGTTAAAAATCGAAGCTTCTTTATTATTAGTTTAATTTTTTTTTCCACATTATTATGGTGATGTTAAGCCTATGTCTTCCGATGATGTTTCAATGATCAATGTGACAGATTCATTACTTATTACAAATTGTTTATTTGCCTTAGATGAGAGGGTGAAATCAGAGTGTATAACAATTAAGAGACCAAAACGTTTCCTCGAGTATCTTTTGGTGCTGGATCTGAGTCCTGACTTTTCATATCCTCCTGTCCCCTGATCCTGATGTTATGCTTCTCTTTGTACTCGATGATATCCTTTCCCATTTTCGCGAGCTGCTCGTTCAGTTTCTCCGTTAACACGACAAGCTTATCCCTGTTCGAAGTTAAAGCAGGTAGAACATCTTTTACTTGCTTCTCGACAAGAATGCCTCCAATCAAACGGTGACATTTCCTCTCTCCATCGACGTTCTTCAAAGTCTCGATGACCATTCTGCGTTGGATCAATTGAAAATATTTAATTTTAGAATCATGTGTGATCGAATCCATAGAGGATTCTACTTACTTGTGTTCATTGATGTCCGCCTCGAATTCGGAGATTTTCGATGCGAGGGTGCGTTGCTCCACGCGAAGTGTATTGAATCCGTTGAGGATATCATCGGGGGTAGGTCCTTTACCTTTCTTGTCCATTTTCTTCGCCGCCTCTGATGCCATTTTTGGTTATAATTTCGGGACTGTGAATCAACTGGATGTACTAAAAAACACTCCTCAACTGACATCCCACACGATTTCAAAATATGCAACTTTACATACACAATACTCATATACAAGCAACTTGTACTACTTATATATTTTATTTATTTCCTTATAAACAGTTTAAAATAATTATAAATCGCAAAGAAAGATTAAAAACAAAAGAACCAAATCAAAAAAGAACAACTATAAATAAGACAAATACCAAAATAAAACAAAGTTAGACTGAATCATTCTAGAATCTATTTTACTAAAAGTTAAGAAGTTTCGAATAATGCTGCAAGTTTAATTTATTTGAGATTTAACTTAAGAATTTTCTTTAAGCAAAAAAAAAGTTATTGTGACTTGTAATTGTCACAATAACAATTATTATAGAAAATATGAAAAGGTCTTTGTTCTAATATTAATTACATAATATTAATAGAAAATGTATGGAAATTAATATTTTTAGTTATAGGCAACCTATAGAGCACGAGTAATAATTAGTTATATAAATCCACCGCGAGAGGCGCCACAAGTTTAATTACGATGCGTCACTTGCAATTGGAAAGTAGTGCATTTTCATACTCTTAAAAGTTTCAAATGATTTCCGCCGTTTCTATTCATCATTAATATTGCGGAGAAGCGGCAGATTTCCTCGCAAATAAGCAGACAAATTAAGGTAAAATGATTCACAATAAAAGTAAAACGCAAACAATATTCCATGTTTAGAATAGTTTATAGAATTATTTTGTTTTATAATCATTGAAATTCTCTCAATTCAAATGCGATTTCACAGCGTTTAAATGTATTGGACTCGTTTTCTGCATTTTTATTTGTTTATTGCAAATGGCTTCTTTTTGTTTCTTCGTGTTGAACGTAAAATTTTCTTTTGTTCGTTTACTCTTTTTTTTTATTGAGTTTCGCTAACTTCATGCGATAAGAGTTTGCTTTTTATCGCGCAAAAAATGACGACGAGCTCGGTTCTGATTGGTTGAACGATCACAGCGCAGCTGTGCAGCACGACTTAAATAAATCTGTTGCAATCATTGTTTCACGGTGTTCGCAGTGTTAATAAATTGCTGAATTTTCTGCTGTTTCCAGTGAAATTAGAGACAGGGGAAAAGCTTTCAATGCAACAGGCAGCGATTGTGAGAGTCTACAAGGAAGTCATAGAAAGTAGTAAGTGATTTTACTTAGATTTTGCATTTATTCAAAATGAAATTACGGTGTATATTAGCAAGACGTGTTCGAATTTGTTTTTTTAATCAAATTGATTGGCAACATCGTCGGCGTGGGTACGCTACTTTTGCGCGGGAGTGATGCTCAGTCGACGATCGGTGTTCATTGAGTCGGCGTGCGGACCCGTTTTGAATGTTCAAAATTGTTGTGTAATCCATTCAAATCCAGTGAATTACATCATGTTCTGTGAAATCCATAACCGGAGAACACAATCCAATTGGATTTTGGCAATTAACAGTGAGTTATTAATTCATATTTAATAAAAAAAGTCGATTCACCTACAACGTTTAGAAAATGATCAATCGCGCATACGGCTTAATTAATATTTTCATTATATCATTGCGGTTCATTCAAAATCAAAGTATAGCTTATAATTAAGTGGGTTAATTAATTAGAAATTGCGTCGTTTTCAAAATGGCGAAAGGACGCGTCCCCTCCCTCAATTTT